ATTTTGTTTATTAATCATAAAGCACATGATTAATAATAAGCAATATAGTGGTGCGTTTTTTTTGGAAGCCACTGTATGTATAAGGTTATCATGAAATTTTCAATGTCTATAATTTAAATTTTCTAAAGGAATTAATCATTTCATAGAAATGGCGAACCTATAGGAAATTAGAAATCCTGCTTTCAATAACGCGTTGTCCCCAGACATTGTTGGGGAAACTACATTTGAACTTTTCAATTTCACGCAACAAAATTTAAATAGACCGATTGATATATTCGAAATTATGCAACGTACCACAATCGAAGTGCTTGGAAATTTGGCATTTGGATATCAATTTGGTGCATTTTTTCAATTATAATAAATCACGTGCGATCTAATCTATTTTTAAAAATTTCATAATCTTTTTTTTTTTTTAGTGCTTGAAATCCGTCGGGATTCCTCATATTATAAATGTATATAAGTTTATAATTTCAACTGCGGAATCAATTTATCATATTTTATTTCCATGGTTAATAAAATTACCGACAGCTCATAATAGAAAATTCTTCAAAGCTTAATGAATTTAATGACATTATTAAGGCAAAGAGAAATGAAATTGAAAATAAGAAAGTTTCCAATGATGTTAATTCTGAAAATGGTCGGATTGACCTGCTAACAGGTATGTTACAGCATGGTAACAAAGAGGGAATTAGTACTGATTTCAAGCAATTGAGGGATGAGATGGTGGGCTTTTTCGTTGCTGGCCATGACTTTAAATATAATTTTCCTTCATTTTTTTTTTTATTCTTATAGTTAAATTTATTTAATAATGATAATTATTATAACAACACAACTTCAATGGCGTTAAGCACCTCATTATATTTTCTTGCCAAATATCCAGTAAGCTTTTGATAAATAAATTTTCAAATTGCTTTTATTTTGTTAATCATCTTTTTATTTAAATAAAATTTAAAATACGTAGGAAATGCAAGAGAGCGCGCGAAAAGTAATCAGTGTACTTGGAAATGAACCAATCATACCTACATCGGAACAATTAAAGATAACGACTTCAGTCTTTTTCACATTTTGCATATCAACTTAACTAATACAACATTTTGTTTTTAAGGAAATGAAATATATCAATGCAGTATTAAAGAATCCTTCCGAATTTTTCCGTCATCTGCATCATTAATTCCTCATAAATTAACCAAGCCAATGAAAATTGGTCCTTATATTATAATATGTACACTCCCATGAAAAAAATGACTTGGAAACTCAAAAATCGAAATAATAATTGAAATTATCAACTAATAAGAAAAAATTTTTTTTATTAATAAAATTGACTTTAATGTTCTAAGTAAACTTATGCATTATATTAAATAGTATATATTTTTAAAATTTCGTGACAATTGGACATTTATTAAATTTTAAATTCTAACATTTAATTAAAAAAATGCATAATTTTTGAAGATTTTCGGCTATAATAAACTGCAAATTTTTTAGCTTAATAATTATTTTAGTAATTAAGTAAATGTATTCGATATAATAAAAGAAATATTATTTTAAAAATTTAGCATTTATGTATAAATACTCCGATAATCGTTGAAAATTAGTTAAATATTCTAGATTTAAATATGATCGTCATAATGCAACCTAACTAATTAGACAATTAAATAAATAAAATGTCAAAATCTTTAACTGCAACAACTGCAGTAATAAATATAATATTTCTTTTATTATATCGAATAAATTTACTTAATTACTAAAATAACCTTTAGTCAAAAAATTTGCAGTTTTATTATAGTCGAAAATCTTCACAAATTACGCATTTTTTTAATTAAATGTTAGAATTTAAAATTTAATAAATGTCCAATTGTCACGAAATTTTCAAGATATATATACTATTTAATATAATGCATAAGTTTACTTAGAACATCAAAGTCAATTTTATTAATAAAAAAATTTTTTTCTTATTAGTTGATAATTTCAATTATTATTTCGATTTTTGAGTTTCAAAGTCATTTTTTTCATGGGAGTGTACAACAAATATTTGGCAAATTAATCATTATCCAAATTAGAGGTTGGAACCAGTTAATTTTTAACCGGTTAATTAACCGGTTAAAGATTTTTTTTAACCGGTTAAAATAGATGAGTTTAAATCCGGCCGAAATTCATTTTCCGGCCAGAATTAAGATTTTTATGATTGCAAATTATTGTCTAACTCTGGCCA